TTTTTTTTATTTTTTGAGACAGAGTTTCATTTTGTTGTCCTTGGTAAAGTGACATGCCATCATAATTCACAGCAACCTCAAACTCTTGGGTTCAAGTGATTCTCTTGCCTCAGCCTCCCAAGTAGCTGAGACTACAGGCACCTGCCACAATGGGTTTATTTATTTTTAGAGACACTCTTGGTTTAACTAAGAGTGTTCAAGACCAGCCTGCGCAAGGGTGTTACTCTTGCTCAAGCTGGTCTCGAACTTCTGAGCTCAAACAATCCACCTGCCTCAGCTTCCCAGAGTGCTCGGTATAGGTATGAACTGTGTGGCTGGCCAGAAATGATCATTATTAATATCTTAGTGGCAGCATTCTGGTTATTTCTTTTATGAATAATTTTGTATTCCTTAATCATTCATGATTTTAGACTCTGCATTTCTGTGTTATTAAAAATTATTTGCTTGCACTCTGATAGGCCAAGACAGGTGGATTGCTTGAGCTCACGAGTTTGAGACCAGCCTGAGTAAGAGCGAGACCCTGTTTATAAAAACTAGCTGGACGTTGTAGAGGGCATCTGTAGTCTCAGCTACTCAGGAGGCTGAGGCAAGAGGATTGCTTGAGCCCAAGAGTTTGAAGTTGCTGTGAGTTATGATGCCATGGCACTCTACCCAGAATGACAAGAGTGAGACTCTATCTCAAAAAAAAATAAAATTATTTGGCTCAGCACCCATAGCTCAATGGTTAGGGCACCAGCCACATACACTGAGGCTGGTGGAGTAGAGCCTGGCCTCAGCTTACTAAATGCCAATGATATCTGCAACAAAAAAAAGTAGCCGGGCATTGTGGTGAGTGCCTGTAGTCCCAGCTACTCAGAAGGCTGAGGCAAGAGAATTGCTTAAGCTTAAGAGTTTGAGGTTGCTCCGAGCAGTGATGTGATGCCATGGCACTCTACTGAAGGTGACATAGTGAGACTCTGTCTCAAAAAAAAAAAAAAATTTGCCAACATTTTCCTGGCTGCCTAATATTCTATTGTACAGCTAGATTATTCCCTAATTGTTGGATATGCAGGTTGATTCCAATGTGATATTTATGAACATTTTAAAGGCTCTTGATTCTTTTCATCACCTTGTTTTTCAAAAAAACATAGTTAATACATCCCCAGCAGTAGGTGAAAGTATAGATCTGGACTCACAAAACTTCTTTATAAAAGAAGTTTTCCTGGAATATCAAACTGATTGTGGTGCTATTTAATCCCTTATTTATCTATTGAGGTAATAGAAAAATGACCCAAATGCCTTGTTATTTTAATTTTTCAAAATGTTGTCTACATTTTCCTTCCTCTTCAGGGAGAGACAAACAGGATTATAGCCTCCCACACCTTGAACAAAAACTCTTCCAGATCACACTGCATTTTCACCATCTATGTGGAGGTAGGTAAAAGGCTCTTTTTGAGCCTGGGAAGGATAGTCAATTCTCATGGGGAGTGCTCAGTCAGAACACCACCACCACCACTACCACCACCCCATGATAATCTAATTCATTTTGGATGTTTTATAGGCCCATTCTCGGACTTTATCAGATGAAAAGTACATCACTTCCAAAATTAACTTGGTGGATCTAGCAGGCTCTGAGAGGCTTGGCAAGTCTGGGGTAAGTGAGGAGGGCAAGAGATTGCTTCTCAACGAGCCAGGGACCCTGTTTCTGGCATAGTGTCTATGCATGTGGGCTGCCCCTTTTCAGGTATCTATGAGCACAGTCCAGAGCTAGACTAAGTGGATCATGTGGCCTTGCTAGAGGAACAGAATTGTCACGTGAGAAATAGCTACTACCTAGGGGCAGTTTCTACCTCTCAGGAATTTTGTAAACATTAAATGTGACATACATACCTCTAAGGTTCCTCATACTCAGTAAGTGTTCATTAAATGCTTCATGCTAGGCTAGGTGGGCACAGTGGCTTATACCTGTAATCCTAGCACTCTGGAATGCCATGGTGGGTGGATTGGTTGAGCTTAGGAGTTTGAGACCAGCCTGAGCAAGAGCAAAATGCTGTCTCTAAAAAAACTAACCTGGTGTTATGGTAGGTACCTATAGTCCCCAGCTACTTGGGAGGAGGCAAGAGGATCACTTGACCCTGGGAGTTTGAGGTTGCTGTGAGCTATGATGCCAGAGCACTCTACCAAAGGTGATAAAGTGAGACTCTGTCTCAAAAATAAAGAAATAAATAAATGCTTCATGCTAGTACTTCTTGGTATATCAATATGAGTATTTGTATGAGTGATTGAATGAGTATTTTATTTCAAATAAATACTTTTTATGAGTGTATTAGCACTAGCACTTACAAGTATATTCAAAGGAACATCCATATGTGCATTCATATGAGTGTTTGAATGTTCACAGCATTATTTGCTCAAGTATCTGTACAGTATTTCTATATGTATTCATATTAGTGTGAATTTTTTATTTTTTTTTGAGACAGAGCCTCAAGCTGTCACCCTGGGTAGAGTACTGTGGCATCACAGCTCACAGAAACCTTCAATTCCTGGGCTCAAACAATTCTCCTGCCTATGCCTCCTAAGTAGCTGGGACTACACGTGCCTGCCACAACACCCAGCTGTTTTTTTTTTTTTTTTTTTGGTTGTAGCCGTCATTGTTGTTTGGCGGCCTGGGCTGGATTCAAACCCACCAGCTCAGGTGTATGTGGCTGGCGCCTTAGCTGCTTGAGCCACAGGCGCCAAGCCTAGTGTGAATTTTTGAGTGACTGTTCATATGAATATTCACATGAGCATTTACGTGAACATTTGCACGAGTATGACTATGAATTTTAGTATTACCATTATTAGCCAAAGGTGGATACAATCCCATGACATTAAGGGAGGCCCCTAGTTCTGGGAAGGAGGCACTGGCCTGACCACAGACTTAACAGTATCACCTTAAACAAGGACAGCAGCCATTTTGAGTGGAGCAGCCTGTCCAAAGTAGATTGACCTTTGGTTTGTAGTCTGAGGGCCGAGTCCTGAAAGAAGCCACTTACATCAACAAGTCGCTGTCATTCCTGGAGCAGGCCATCATTGCCCTTGGGGACCAGAAGCGGGACCACATTCCCTTCCGGCAGTGCAAGCTCACTCACGCCCTGAAGGACTCATTAGGTGAGGGGGTGTGGTTGGTGCCAAGGGAGGAGGGTCTGTGTCTCTGAGGAAGGACAAGTGGCATAGCTATCACTGATGATAATAGCATCCCTCCCACCTGGTAGCATGGATTTACCTGTAGCCCTTTCACAGTGATTTCTGACACATCCTGAAAAGACAAAATCAAACACAGTGCCCTCTTCTACCCAGAACATGCCTGGTGTTCACTTCTCAGAACCTTTACTTAAGCTTTTAACTCTACTGTGAATATCTTCTCTTTTCCCATCATCCCTAAACCAGCTGGCAGAATCCTCCATGGCCTTGAAGTTCCAGTAAGAGGTCCTCTCCTTTGGAGCCTCTTGGGTAGAGTAGCCAGGGTTGTGTCTTATCATCTCCATGAATTTAGGTCTTTGTGTTAGGCCTGACAACATAGTCACCAGTGTCTGAGTGTTAACTGAGTGCCACTATAAGCAAAAGCTTGGCTAATACTCCTCCCCCCAAATCCTGCCCTGCACTGTGTCTCCTCTTTTATTCTCTCCTGACTGCTCTTTTAGGTATATCTGATACCCTCTCTCCTTTCCTAATAATCTCTTCCTCTTGCCTAGCAGCCTCATACATGTTTGGGTATGTACTCTCTGGCCCTGTCTTAGTTCAGGATGCTATAACAAAATAGTCAAGAACAAGATGCCAGCATATTCAATTCCTGGCGAGGGCCTTCTTCCTGGCTAGTAGAGGACCACCTGCTCTCTGTATCCTCACATGAAAAAAAAAAAAGAGAGAGAGAGAGAGAGAAGGCTTTAATTTATCTTTCTTTTCTTATAAGGATGTTCATGCCATCATGGGGGCCTTACCCTCATGACCTCTTCTATACCTTATTACCTCTAAAGGCCCCACCTTCAAATATCATCACATTGGGATTTAGGGCTTCAACATAGGAGTTTTATGAGATACAAACATTCAGTCCATAACAGACTCCCACTGTTATCAGTGGAGCCTCTTGACAGACAAAGCTCATGGTTCATAGCCCTTTTGTGTCCTGCTTTCTGTAGGGGGAAACTGCAATATGGTCCTCGTGACAAACATCTATGGAGAAGCCACCCAGTTAGAAGAAACGGTATGTATGGACAGTCAGTGTGTAGGTTGAAATCCTTCATGGGAGCCAGGACTGGGTATGGTTGGCTCCTGGCTAAGCTAGCACAGTTGCCACAGACATTGTTGAGAGTGAAAAGATCTTGGAAATGATTCTGAGCCAAAATTGCTGAGGGGCCCCAGAATTAGGATCCAGATACCAAGCAGTAAGCACTCCTATGAAGAGGAAGGCATGGCAGGAGGCAGGGTCAGTATGAAGGACCATGCAGGGAGGGGAGGCTGAGGGCCAGCTTTTTGGGAACAAGGAACATGTTTCCTAGGGTGCTACTCCTGCAAATGGGGGCCAAGGACAATTGGTTACTTGTTCTTCATTATCACAAATGTTTAAACATCTTGTAAACACTACAGGTTCCAGGCTGTGATTAAAAGATCCATATGAGCAGACAGGTACTAAGCATCTGCTGTGTGCAGGGTAAGAGCGGAGAGCTCAATAGAGATGAGTTATACATGGCCTTGGGGCTCAAAGATCCCAACCCAAGAAGAGAGAGAAACCACAGTCCTATGTAATGTAAGAGGCCCACAGGAGGACACCTTCAGAGGAAGGGGAGCAGGGTGGTTTTCTGAAGCTGGGGTGGTGAAAAGTGAGTACTGAGCTGGCTGGGGTTAAAGGATTGGTGGTAGGATGAGCAGAAGTATTCTTTTTTTTTTTTTTGAGACAGAGCCTCAAGCTGTCACCCTGGGTAGAGTGCTGTGGCATCACAGCTCACAGCAACCTCCAACTCCTGGGCTTACGCGAGTCTCCTGTCTCCACCTCCCGAGTAGCTGGGACCACAGGCACCCGCCACAAAGCCTGGCTATTTTTTGGTTGCAGCTGTCATTGTTGTTTGGCGGGCCCAGGCTGGATTTGAACCTGCCACCTTAGGTGTATATGGCTGGCACCTTAGCCACTTGAGCCACAGATGCCAAGCCGAAGTATTCTTGACAGAGCTAACAGTGGGACTGAAAGCGTGACCCATGCCAGGAACATCTGGCCACTGCAGGGGAGGGTTCAGGAGAAACTCATTTTGAGGAGAAGCAGGAAAGAACTTGAGGGGGCTGGATGCTCCTGGGGTCTTGGCTGTTTTTCTGCAGGTTACTAGATTCTTCACAGGGTTTGAGTAGGGGATTAACCCACTGACAGAACATAGAAGGTAAGGGGAGAAGAGAAGCAGAGAATCAGAGAATGTGAGAATCAGAGGCAGGAGTAAGAGTTCAACACAGTGACATAGGTGAGTCCATGAACCAGGAGGACCTGTTGGAGAGGTTTCAGGGATTTTGGACAAAGGTATCTCAGGAGTACGAAAGCTAATAATTCTCTTCTCCAAATGTTCCTTCTTAAAAATGTTCCTATCGTAGATTGTGTTGCTGTATGCACTGACACTGCACATGTGTGCATAAGTAACCACAGTGATGGAGTTGTGACCACATTTGCTGCTGTCATTGGAGCAGGAGAACCTGGCTTTGCTGCACACAGTCTCAACCATCCATTTTGTACCATGTTTCTGGGCAGAGATTTGTTTTTCCTAATGGACTCCTTTTACCTGTATATCTATACTCACAAGCAATGGACCAAAGACATCCGAGCCAACACACTCATTTTAGAACTCTGCTGAGTTGAGCTTTTGGCTTTGCTACTGAATAGCAAAGGCTAACTAGTACATTCAAATGCTTTCTTCCACCCAAGTTCAACATTTACCACACATCTTTTGATGACTTTATGGGAGAAACTGTGATTGCCCAGGCACTCAATGCTCATCTCAGTTTTACCACCAGCACCTGTTGAGGCACCTCTCATTGTTTTTCTCCGTGCCCTCAGATGTTGACCCACCTCTTGCCTCCCTCACACTGGGGCACGTTGTCCCTCCATCATAATGTCTTTACCCCTTCCCTATCACCTGGAAAAACCACTGCTCTGGCCCTTCCTGGCCTCTACCCCGGTCCCCACCCAGGGCACTACAAGGGTTTCCTATAGGTCCTCCTCCTCCCACAAGTGAAGAATAGGAGCCAAAGTGCCTGGGATGAATTCCTGTTCCACCACTGACCAGCTCTGTGGCCTTGAGTAGGTAGCTTGACATCTATAAAAACCAGACTAAGAATGTTCCTTCCTTATATGATGTTATGAAGATTAAATGAGTTAACACCCTTAAAACATGTAGAGCAGAGCCTGAGCCCCAGCAAGCTCACCTGCCTGTTACCTCATAGAATAAAGGGCTAAGCAAGCTGAGCCAGACCCTTCTACTGACAGTCTGGGAGGTACGGGCCCCAGGTATCTGGTGCTGGTTAGATGTAATATCCATAAGCCTTGCTGAAGGAAGGCTGTGAGAATAGGGGCCCAGTACCCCATCCTATCCTGACATGGCCTCATGGCCCAGCAGCAGTGAGGTCCCTAAGGAACAAGGCATATCTCTGTGGTAACAGCAAGGCCTTTTAGCTCAAATGCTGTGAAGACTCTTTGTGAATGGTGGCAGGATACTGGTGGGTTGACTGTCTAGAGCAATCATGGACTATCAATCATGGACTATTATAACAATAATTGATTAATGGATACATCTTAAATCACAATGGTTATGGTTATACAACAGTAATTAATCAAGCCTCAGTGAGTTTTCCACCATTGTTCATCTACTGAGAACTTGGGGAGTTTATGAAACTTATGGGACTTTCCATGCCTCTTTAAATTCTGCTCACATGCAGAATATGTCAGCATGTGTGGCTGGAGATCTGTGCTCCCCCATATGCTGCAGAACTACCCATCCCCATTCAGAGTGCCAGTCCATGTACACGTGCCTGAGCATGTGCCTTCCCAGCAGTAGCTCAGGGGAGACTTGGCAGGTTAAAGTTTGAGCAGATGCTGCTCAGGGTCTAGACTTGTACTGTCTGCCATGGTAGCCACTGGCCACACATAGCCATTAAGTATTTAAATGCTTATGGCTGATCCAAACTGAGATATAGTATAAGGGTAAAATGCATACAAGTTTTCAAAAACCTAGTTTAAAAAAGTGAAATATCACATTAAAATATTGATTATATGTTGAAATCATTATTTTAGACATATTAGTTTTAATATAGTTTTAAACTAATATGTCTAAAATAACTATATTAAAATTATTTTCATCTGTTTTTCATCTATTCTCATATGATTACTAAAAAATTTAAAATTATATATATGGCTTGCATTTGTGGTTTGCATTATATTTCTGTTGGATATCACCAATCTGGACTTTGAAAAGCAATGAAGGAAGGCAGGGGCCACCCTCCTCAAGGAGCCACACTGTGGGGTGTAGAAGGGGTAGAGACCTTTCCTGTGAAGGAGGACCAGGAGGCTTCAGGGAGGAAGCTAGTTTTTAGTTGGGCCTAGAAGGAGAGTGAAAATTGGGAAAGTAGATAGCAAAGGAGGATAAGAAAGGGCTAGGTAGGGGTTCCTTGAGAAAAGGCATAGAAGTAGAAGATGGTCAGGTTGAAAGAAATAGAACAGTGTGTATCTTCATAGTGTAGACAATAAAGACCAGGCTGCAGTATGTACCCTCTGTCAATTTCCTGTTCTTCCTGTTCCACTCCCACCCCACTTGGGGACTGCACTGCTGAGAGCTCTTTTGATCAGTGTCCTCTCAGGGAAGTAAACCAACATGGTGGTTTGGACAAGACAACTTGAAGAACCAGGAGAGGGCAGGCAAGTCTCTGAGAAGGCTGATCTCTTGGGGTCTCACTTTAGTGAAGAGCCATCTGATGTCTACCTGGTCTTCTCTTTTTCAGCTGTCTTCTCTGCGATTTGCCAGTAGGATGAAACTGGTCACCACGGAGCCTGCCATCAACGAAAAGTATGATGCTGAGGTATTAAGGGGCTTGTGGATAGGTGGCTCACTGTGGGGAAGGTGTGTGGATTTGCTACCTGGGTCACACAAGCCTCTTTCATTTCTTTCTTCAACCAAAGATAACCAGGCATCCCTGCATCAGTCCCTTTCCACTCTGGGATAGGCCAGAGTCTTTAGAGTCCCTGGAGAACCACAGGGCTGACACAAAGGTGAAAGGTGATTACTCAGTTCACATGCAGGGGAAGTTTGGATACCTTGGGCTTCTTCATGAGATTTCCTTAGAGCTAAGTGTTTCAGAACTAAATCAGTGTGGACTATCTTTCAGAATTGTCTATGTCACTGTAGAACTTCTTTCCTCCCAGCCTGAGTCACTACAGAATATCTTTCCTCCAAAGAGAACTGACCGATAAAGAATGCACAACATGAACATTAACCAAGGAAATACAAATTAAAACCTCAGTAGAATTCCACTCTGAAACTAGCAGAAACTAGAATTTTTCTGATAACACAAAAGGATGAGGAGAATGTGGAGAAACAGGAACTCTTGGCCATTTCTAGGGGGGTTGTAACAGATACAACCACTTTGGGGAGTGTTTTGAGAACATCTAGTATAGTAAAAACACATTTATCATTAATTTGATGTTCCTTGAAGATGTTTATAGAATTGTAGTTACTAGAGACAAGAGCAATTGCATATCCTAAGGTGATTACAAACCAGTTAAACCTTTCAGATTCTAAATCTTTTTTTTTTTTTTTTTGAGACAGAGCCTCAAGCTATCCCCCTGGGTAGAGTGCCG